CCCCCCCCCCCCCCCCCCCAGCATGACACAGCCCTAAAGGAGAGATCCTGCCTTAGAAGGACCAGAGGCCCTTCGCTGAAGGGTTTTAAACAGAGTTTGACTGAATTAGCCCTGGGATCTCACCACTGTTGCGTGAAACGGAACCCCCACGCCAGGAAACACAGCGACTGACTTGCGGTTCCAGATCAGCTGGCCTCCAGGCCTCGGCCCACCATCCTGAAGGATCTCGTTTTAGGAAAAGCCTTGGATTGTGTCCCACGTTGTTGGCTTTTTTTTCAGGAGAAATCTCTAGCCCCAGAAAGCAGCATGGATTTGCAAGACCAACACCGTCTACCCAAGCATGTCAAACTCGCGGCCAGCGGGCCACAGGCCTCATTGAAATAAACGGCACTTTACCAAACACCACCTTTCCCAGGTCTAAAGAATGAGAAGCCAGTGTCGGCTCAGATGCCAGGGTCGATGGTGGTTGGCTGGCGAGCACACTGCCAGGCGCAGCTCCTGGCCCTCAGGGAAAACGCATCTGGTCTCAGCAGGTCCTCTGGGCCTTTGGGTGAAGATGCTAACGGGGACCTGGATGAGGGCTCTACAGGCGACCGAGGAAAACAAACATGTGGATTGTGTATTTCCCAGGTGCTCTTCCACACTCAGCACACGCTAGGTGGGAGGCCTCAGGGATCAGCTGGGAGCTGGACGGAAAGACTCTGTCCTAAACGAGGCCACATTCCAGTGCGGCAGCGAGACAGGACCCATAGGGGTTCAGGGCCACTGCACGCCCGAGTCAGTGCTGGAGTTAGAGGGTAGCAGCTAGCCCCTTGGGTGACTGTGTGCTCTGACACAGTGTAGGACTCGGGATCATTGCATGCGCTGTGCACTGAGGCCAGCACTGCACAAGGGAGTTCAGGGTCTTGTCGGTGCAGGAGCCACACACGACACATCACATATGAAGCAAGGGTCTTCCTGCTCGAGATGGTACATGTCCATTCCCGGCATCACTGCATACTCTGTTGGGTGCTGGAGTCGGGCAGAACGTAAGATCCGTGGTCAGTACACATTCGGGTCAGTGCTGGATCTGGACATCCATGAGACCCAGGGTCATTGCATGCTCCGGAAGGTATAGTTACACACCAGGGTCAATGCACGCTCTGTGCGTGGCTGGGGCCAAACAATGCACTCAGGAATCCAGTTGGCAGGCACTTGTTGGTGCTGGAGTCAGACAGAACATGGGACCACATGGTCACTACTCCAGTCATTGCTGGGTCTGGCCAGTGCACCTTCGAAGCTAGGGTCTCTGGCCACTCTCATTAGTGCTGGAGTCACATAGTAGATGGTAAGTTCCCGAGATCCTTGCAGGCTGTGGTCAGTCCTGCAGTTGGACAGTCCATGTAGGAATCCAGGGTGCGAGAACTCTGGTCATTGTCTGAGCCAGACAGAACACAGCGGACTCCTAGGGTCAGTGCTGCGGGAACCCGTGTGTCTTTGGATATGCCAAACTTCTCCTGAAGTTGTAATGAAGTCCAGTTTATCAGTGATTTCTTTGATGCATTGGGATTGTGCTTTTAGGTACCTTATTCATGAAATCTTTGCCTAACACAAGTTCGCAGAGCCTTTCTCCTATGTTTTCTTCTAGTGCTTTTATAGTTTTACATTTAGTGTCTGACCCACATTGAATCCATCTTAGCGTTCGATGGGTCTAAATTCATCTTTTTGCGTGTGGGTGTCGGGTTGTCTCAGAGAGGATTTTGAGAAATGCCTGGCCCAGAGTTTTCCCTTTTGCCTCCTTCTTTCTAGTGTCCATAGTTCTGCTCAGTTGGAATTGCACTGCCTTTGCTGCTGGTGCTCTGGGCACTTGTTGCCTTGGGAACAGGTCCCGTGGTTATGGACGAGCTTTTGTGATGTTCGGTGGAAAGCTGCAGAACACGAGGAGGCAGGAACGCGGGTGGGGAGGCCTGGGACTCAGCCACAAAGGCACCCAGGGCCCTCTCCTCTCCGGCTGTGTGACCTGGTGCACATTCTTTCTCCTTCTGCAAGATCAGCTCTCCTGTCTGCAAAGTCAAGCTGAGGGTTTTTAAAGAGAGAGGGATGTTTTGATTCCATTGTTCGCGAAGCTTTTCCTGGGTTGGGTCATTCAGTTTGGTTTTAGGGGTTCGTTCTTCAAATTAACTCTGTGGGAAGCTCCTTACTTCTTCCCACTGGGTTCCGGAGTCTGACTGTCTGGGTTCAAATCCTGGTGTCTCACTGATGCGGGCACATGATCTGGCTGCTCCAGGACTTAATTTCTGACTCTGTAAATGGGAGATGCGCACACTTCTCACAGAGAGGCTGTGAGGATGGAGTAGAGTCCTGCCCCTTAGCCTACAGGAAGAGTACTTCAGACTGTGCGTGTGGCACGTGCAAATGTCCGATGGCAGAGAAAAGGCCAGGGGCCAGAATGCAGAGATCGAAGGGGGGTGTGGCACTGGATTTAGAGAGGCCAGATGCTTACCCAATGAGGGCCTCAGAGGCGAGTTACCCAATGAGGGCCTCAGAGGTGAACAAGCCAGTCCATGGTTTTCAGGAGCCCACAATTTGAGGGGAACAGATGCATGAAGTGACCGTGCTTTCAGGGTCAGGAATAGGTGGAGTCAGCCTGGGGTGCACCCTGACCCTGCCAGGGTGGCAGTGAGGCCAGGGGTGGTCAGACAGCCCTTGGCCTTCACCACGGTTCTCCTCTCCTACAGGGGCTATTTGATCACGGCGCCCTCCGTCTTCCGCTCGGGGGTGGAGGAAGTCATCAGTGTGACCATCTTTAACTCCCCAAGGGAAGTCATGGTCCAGGCTCAGTTGGTGGCCCAGGGCGAGGCAGTGGCATGGAGCCAGGGAGCCATGCTGGGTAGGTCTCTGGGCTGTCTGATGGGGGCTTCCCCGCCCTTTGCACCATGGAGCCGTTTGCTGGCCTTCAGGGCTTGGGCAGGGTGGGCCTTGCTTTGCTTCCTCCCATCCCACCTCCCTAGAGCCCTGGCAGGGAGGGAGGGCAGGTTGAGTTCTCCCCATTTCTCAGATGAAGAGAGTAAGGTCCCGGAGGGGCAGCCACCTCCCCAGAATGGGGAATCCGAGTCCAGGTTCTATGGGTGCAGATATGGATGGAGTCAGGCACCCTTTCCTGTCAGCTTTGGCTAAAGGTGGGATGGGGCCATATCAGACCTTTTCTTGAGCTTTGACCCTGTGGGGTGCTGGACCCAGACTTGGGCTCCCAGCTGGGCGGAGCTTAGGCCCTCAGCCAGCCTCTCCCACAGTTTCCTTGGTAAATTGCAGAGAAAGACAGCGCTGCCTCCTGGCCCTGCCTCAGGGGCGCCCAGTCTGGTAGGGCAGGTGACTCATTCCTCACATGGAGCATGGGAAGGATGCAGCCACAGGAGACAGGGTGTGCTGGGGCTCTAGTGGGGCAGCCCCTGTCCTCTGCGGGGACACGGGGAGGCCGACCAGGAGTGGAAGCTAGGAGAAGGGATTGGGCGGGCAGGAGGAGTGCAGGCAGTCCCTGTTCCTCTCCAGGGGTCGTCCCCGAAACCCAACTCAGGTTGGTTTCAGCGACAGAGTTTTAGGGCCTCTCATAACTAGAAAAGTCCACGGGCATTTCTGGCCATCTCCTGGCCACACTTCTGGATGGGCCCCTGTGTCCTCAAAGCTCAGAGGAAGTGGTGGTGGGGTTCCCAGGATTCCCTCTGAGGGTGCATCTTGGGTCATATCCTCAACTCAGACCCAGTCCCTGTGGCCAGGGGCAAGGCCTGTGCTGGTTGGCCTATGTGGGTCATCATGTTATCGACCCTGAGCCAATCCCTGTGATAAGGGCAAAGGCTTATGTAGATTTGCACAGAGCTCCACCAAATGACATGGACTGGGAGCTGGTCAGGGGTTCCTACAAGGAAATCAGGGTTTGGCTAGCAAGGAAGGCGGGGTGGGGTGGAGAGGGGAGGGGGCATTCATTCTGGGAGGCAGAAACAGCAGATGTCTAAATAAGCCCTGAAGGCCAGTAAATCCCGAGAGGTGTCAGAATAGCAAATGACTCCATTTGGGTAGAAGAGAGGCGATGGGAGACCAGTCAGATTCACTCGACCAAGGTCCACTGGGAACCTCAGTCTCTTCTTCTTTCTCCTGTTCCTCTTCCCTGGAGTTTCTCTTTGCTCCCCTCACAGCTTACCTTGGGCAGAGGCCAGGGGTGAAGTGAATCAAGTATGCAGGCCGGCCAACTTTCCCCTGAATAGCTCAGCTTTGTCCATTCCCTCCGGCCTTCAACTCTCGCCAGTTTGGCAAGCCCGGCCCAGCCCAGCCCAGCCCAAGCCAGACCAGTGTGACCCAGGGTATATGCTTGTTCACAGAAAACCCTCTGGCTTGAGAAACCCCTGTTTGTAAGGCTGCAGGCCAGGGAGGTTGGACAGGAAAACACAGCTTCTGATTTAACCGTTTTTATTTTATTTTCATTTTTTTAGATAAAGGAACAATCAAACTCAAGGTAAGCTATGACCTTTCGAAATCATAAACCCTACCTTGGAAATAAATTGAGTTGGATGGAACAAGAAATGTTGCATGTGTTTTGAGAAAAATCACTGAGAAAAACAATGATTGATGAGGAAAAAATTTAGAAAAGGAGAAGTCACCCATAATCCCCTTCCCTATACTTTTCACTTTTTCACGTTTCCTGCAAATCCTTGTCTCCTTGAGCACATTTTTTCATAGTTGCAATTAAAGGGTATACACCATGGTGTTTCCTGTTGTTTTCTCTAAACACATTGTATAAACATATTTTCATGTGTCAAAGTCTCTATAATTGTATTTTGCATCCTGTTGTAAACAGCATCTTATTACATCCCTTTTATGTACAGTTGATCCTTGAACAATGAGGGGGTTACCAGCGCCACTTCCCCCATGTGGTGGAAAATCTGTGTATAACTTTTGACTCCCCCAAAACTTAACTACAGTCATTCTCTCGGTATTCGAAAAGAATTGGTTTCAGAACTCCCTGCAGATACCAAAATCCGAGGATGCTTAAGTCCTTTATATAAAACTAGAGGCCCGGTGCATGAAATTCATGCACTGGGGGGGGGTGTCCCTCAGCCCAGCCTGCACCCTCTCCAATCTAGGACCCCTCAGGGGATGTCCGACTGCCAGTTTAGGTTGGACATCCCTCTCACAATCCGGGACTACTGGCTCCCAACTGGTTGCCTGATTGCCCCTAACCACTTCTGTCTGCCAGCCTGATCCCCCCCTAAATACTCCCCTGCCAGCCTGATTGATGCCTAACTGCTCCCCTGCCAGACCGATCGCCCTCAACTGCTCTCCCCTGCTGGCCTGGTCGCCCATAACTGCCCTCCCCTGCCGGCCATCTTGTGGCTGTGGGCACCGCCATCTTTGTGATGATGTGAGGGTCAATTAGCATATTCCCTCTTTATTAGATAGGATGGCGTAGAATAATGCATACAGTCAGTCAGCCTTCTGCATCCGTGGATTCCCAACCCCAGATCAAAAATTCTGTTTTCACCCAGTGGTTGGTTGAATCCACGGATGCAAAACCCACAGATATGGAAGGCCAATATTTATTGAAAAAAACCTGCAATTCAAGTGTTCAAAGGTCAACTGTAGTAATTTACAGAGCTCTCCCCTTGTACATATTTAGATCTTTAAAAATTGTTTTTAGGGTTTTGATAATGTAACCCAAAGGTTGCGAGCATCTTTGTGTGTAAAGCTATTAGCGTTCCGGATACCTGCCTTTGGCAAACACTCTGAAAAAGAGTTACCAGGTCAGGATCTAGGCCTGTTTCTCGGTCCTGCTTTGTTTTATTTTAGTTTTTAAACAACTTATTTATTGATAGATTGAACTTAGAGAGAGAGGAAGGGAGAGAGAGACACACACACACATCGATTTGTTGTTCCACCCATTTATGCACTCATTGGTTGCTTCTTGTATGTGTCCGTACTGGGGATCGAACCTGCAACCTTTGTGCATTGGGATGATGCTCTAACCAACTGAGCTACCTGGCCAGGGTGGTAGGAGATGCAGCATTGCCTGCCCACAGCACTGCCCGCCATACATTAGAGACCAAATTTCCCACAGCCTTGTCGGCATTGAATATTGTTATTTAAAAGTTATTTCCCATACGAAACTACACTGTAGGTAATTCTCTGACGCGGGTTTTGAAACTGGAGTCATTGATTTCCAGGGGTTTGTAAGCACTGACATTGTAGGCATTTACTGAGTTAGCTGGTCCCTAACTTTTATCAGATGCTCAAAGGGGTCCCTGAATGAATGGACTAAATTGAGACTCATTCTTAATTATAATGTGCCCCGTGCTGTGGTCAGAATGAAGTCCGAGGCGGTTGTGTCCTTCGTGCGGTGGCACAGAGGGCAGTAATAGCCCCTCCTTCAAAGGAGCATTTCTACGGAGGATGTTTACGCCCTTCCCTCTGTGACACTTGGCAATGCCAATACCTGGAGACATTTATGGGTGTCACAACGGTGGTGGGCGGTTGCTACTGGCATCTAGAGGGTAGAGACCAGGGAGGCCGTTCAACACCCAGGTGCCCAGGACCTCCCCGCCCCAGAGAACAAACCAGCCCCAGATGGCAACAGTTTGCTGCATCAGAAAATAGGGCAGCTCCGGACAGGGATTAAAGTTACTAGCATGTGCGGTCCCCTCCCACTGCACACAAGAAGGCCCTCCTCCCAGGATAGATGCTGTGGGTTTGTACAGGAGACCAGTGAAGGCCCATGTAATTCTGGGAGAGGGGCCAGGGGGCCTTAACCCACTAGAGGCCAGCAGCACCCTCATCGCCGTTATGACAACTAGAAACGTCTCCAGACACGGCCAGTGTCCTCGGGGTGAGGGAGGGCAGGGAGTGCAGAATCCTCCCCCACCCCTAACCCAAGTTGAGAAATGCTCATCCAGAGCTATTCTAAGTGCGACGATCCAGGACCCTTTTGGGAGTCTCTAGTCTGTTGAGCAGCATCCTGGCCTCCACCCACTAGATGCCCTACCCCCAGCTGTGGCACCCAAAAACCTTCTCCAGAAACTGCCAAGCGTCCCCCGGGGGGCACAGTCACCACAGGTGAGCACCCCCACCCTAGACCTCCACGCTGCTTTCCCAACACCTAGGTCCCCTCCAGGGTGACACCCCATTTCCAATGCTCTGCGCGCAGGTGCCCACGGGCCTCCGGGGCCAGGCCCTCCTGAAGGTGTGGGGCCGAAGCCGGCAGGAAGAGGAGGGCACCCTCTTCCACAACCAGACCTCCGTGACCGTGGATGCCCGGGGAGCCTCCGTGTTCATCCAGACCGACAAGCCAGTGTACAGGCCCCAGCACCGAGGTGGGCGCCGGTGCGGGCGGGGGAGGGGCCGGCCATGGCCTGGAGCTGCTACACGTCTCTCTCCTTCCTCCCAGTGCTCATCAGCGTCTTCACCGTCACCCCAGACCTGAGGCCCATCAGTGAGAAGGTGAGATTTGCTTCTAAACCCTGTGCCCAGAACACCCCCTACTCCCTCCCGAGACACCCTGGCCAGGCCACCGTCAGCAACTGGCCTTTCTCCTCTGTCCTCTTACAGTTTTTACCTCTAATTTTGGTCCCTCCCTGGGCCTCCACTTCTCCTGGGAGGCCCGGGGGAAGTCTGTGGGACAGAAGGAGGCAAGAACGCTGGTGGGGCCCTCGCTGGTTTGGCTCAGTGGATAGAGCATCGGCCTGCGGACTGACGGGTCCCAGGTTCGATTCCGGTCAAGAGCCTGTGTCTGGGTTGTGGGCTCAATCCCAAGTCGGGGTGTGCGGGAGGCAGCTGATCAATGATTCTCATCATTGATGTTTCTAGCTCTCTCTCCCTTTCCCTTCCTCTCTGAAATCAATAAAAATATATATATTTTTAAAAAATGGTAGGTGCCCCATAAGGGAGCACCATGGTCCAGGCAGTGGCCAGTACCCTCTATGAAGGCTTATGAAGGATTTAAGTAGCAACGGGTTATCATTTGAAATCCTACTAGCCCTGCTTTTAACATTATTAGAAAGAAAATATAACCGCACATCAAACCCATCATTTCTCCTTGGAAATAAACATTCACAGGAAGAAGGCATTGATTTTCTTTTAACCTTTTATTTGCAAATAACGTCAAATGCACAGAAAAGTTGGAAGAACAGCACAGAGAAATCCCATGTGCCCTTTATTCAGCCCAGGGATTGGCAAACTTTCTTTAAAGGGCCAGGTGGTAAATATGTTTGTGTCTCTGGGCCAGAAGGATTCTGTCTCAATTACTCAGATCTGCTGTTGTTGCATAGACTTAGTCAGAGACATACTGGTATGTGAATAAATGGGTGTGGCTGGTTGCCAATAAAGCTTTATTTACACAAACAAATAGAGGGCCAAATTTGGCCTGATCTGGAGCAGTGGTTCTCAAATTTGAGTGTGCGTCTGATTGCCCTGGGGGGCTTGCTCAAACAGATTGCTGAGCCCTCCCTGGAGTTATTGACTCGGTTATTGATTCCCTGATTTCTAGGGAGGTGCCCACAAATCTGTGTTTCTAACAGGTGCCCAGTTGATGCTGCTGCTGGACGAGGGGACACACTTTGAGAACCACAGATCTAGATTCACCAGTTACAAACATTTTGCTACATTTATGTGCTTTCTCTCTCTCTCTCTGTATATACACCTATATACATATGCACTTATAAGATTATTTTAATGATAAGTTATATTTTAATGATAAATTATATTGGTGTGTCTGGTTGCTGGTGATGGTAAGTGCAGCCAGTGGTTTAAGTAGAGTTTGCCCTGTTGCTCCCACCAAAAGTCTGTCTTTCCCCTTTGTGGTCAATAAGTAGTCTGTGGGGACCCGAGGTTCTTTGCATGCCCAGTTACCCATCAGACGCTCACTGCCAGTTCTAGCTTCCACAGATGATTCCGAAATTACATGAAGCAAAACTCGCTGTAATGAGTGCAAAGTGGTGATTTTCCCGGCTCCGTTATTTCCTCGGCTTCTCCTTGGCATCCCGCGGCACGGAGGAGCTTGCAGAAAAGCATTGATTGTGAAGAAAGAGGTTTACGTACACTACACACTACTCGTGTGCATAGCAAAGATGTGAACGTGGTCTGCGGGCGACTTCCGCTTAGGGAGCCCTGAGAGGACATGTTTAGGGCACGCGCTACGTGCACGTCCTTGAGTACTGAGTGCTCGGGGCACATGGCTGAGCAGAGCAGACGGGGGCCCCACCCCTGTGGGGTTCATATTCTGGACAATAACGCTGCACAGTTCCTAGTGGCCGGTGGCCAGCCTAGAAGGGCAGTTCTGTGGGTACACACGGCTTTTCCTTAACTTTCGTCACCCCAAGTTTCTGTGCCTTTTCATCGACTATTTTGATGCACTTGCCTGTTCTTTTCCACCGGCGCGTCCTTCCTCAGGCTGAGCTGGACCTCAGGAGCGGGTTCCCAGGGCAGCGTGGCAGGCCCTGGGTGTGTACGTGTTTTGCTTTCTGAGCGGACAGGGCTAAGTTCCTGCACCCAGATATCCGAGGGGGCCTGTGCCCACAGTTTTCCCTGGGGAGGGGCTGGGGCTCGGCCCCTTGGTATCTGCCCCGTGTGCAGGTATTGCCGGGAAGGGCTTGGCACTCACAATAGAAGGGAAGAGCCCTGGTTTGTGTGGCTGCCCGTTCTCCTCTGGAGGCTGGTCAAAGGTCCGCGCTGGGTGAGGCCCAAGGACAAACATCACAAGAAATTGAATCGAAAGTGCAAGGCTTCCAGCGGCCTCGGGGCTCAGCTGGGGCACACCCGGGCACACAGGCAGCCCTGAGCTAACGGGGTCAGCCACACGGGCATCAGGCAAGGCACACGGCCGAGGTCAGGAACACAGCGGTGCAAGCCGCGACCTCCACCGGTGAGTTCTGCATCGTGGTCAGAGTTGGCGTCGACTGTTGGGTTTGATATGGATGAGCACCGGCTTGCTGCCAGGCTCCAGGCAGGTGCCTGGAGGAGCCGTCCCTGGTTAGGGGTGGAAGCAAGTCTGGGAAGGAGGGCAGGACCATGATAGGAAGCAGGGAAACAGAGGCCAGAGACAGGGCTTGGCCATGCCACCCTCACTGCTAATGGCAACTGTGTGAGTTTGCTAGGGCCGCTGTAACGAAGTGCTATAAGCTAAGTGGCTTACTCAACACAAGTGTATTCTCTCCCCATTCTGGAGGCTGGGAGTCCAAGATCAAGGTGTCAGCAGGGTTGGTTTCTCTTCCTTCTCCTTCTCCTCCACCTTTTTATAACATGTTTTTATTGATTTTTAGATAGAGGGAGGGAGAGTGATAGAGAGATAGAAACATCAATGACAGGTGGTCAGAGTTGGCGTCGACTGTTGGGTTTGATATGGCTGAGCACCGGCTTGCTGCCAGGCTCCAGGCAGGTGTTTGGGGGTTCAGACATGAAAGCACCTGTTTCGGGAGGGCTGCCTGGAGGAGCCGTCCCTGGGTAGGGGCGGAAGCAAGTCTGGGAAGGAGGGCAGGACCGTGATGGGAAGCAGGGAGCACAGAGGCCCTGAGACAGGGCTTGGCCATGCCACCCTCACTGCTAATGGCAACTGTGTGAGTTTGCTAGGGCTGCTGTGACGAGGTGCTGTAAGCTCAGTGGCTTAATCAACACAAGTGTATTCTCTCCCCCTTCTTCTTCTTCTTCTTCTTCTTCTAACACGTTTTTATTGATTTTTAGGGAGAGCGGGAGGGAGAGCGATAGATAGAAGAATCGATGATAGCATCGATCAGCTGCCTCCTGCACTCCCCCTACCGGGGATCAAGCCTGAAACCTGGGCATGTATTCTGACCTGACCGGGAATTGAACCAGTGACCTCTTGGTTCCTGGGTCGATGCTCAACTGCTGAGCCACATCTGGCCAGAGTAAACCACCCTTTCTTTTAAGGACACCAGTCCTATTTGATTAAGCCCTATGCTAATGACCTCATCTTAAGTGGATTATCTCTATAAAGTACCATCTCCAAATCATTCCGAGGAACTAGAGGCCAGGATGTCAACCTATGAATTTGGTGGGGTGGGGAGGCACAATTCAACTCATAACAGCAACTGTGGGTGTCCCAAGGGACCAGGCCCTGCGTGGACGAAGACGAAACGTGCACGGAGGGCTGGGGGTTTCGGGTGGGGGTAGCTCACTGCCTCTGTCTGTCTGTGTTGCAGCTGGAAGCCTACATCCTGGTGAGTGGTCTGCCCTGCCCAGGTTAGCCTACTCTCAGCAAGGCCTGGTCTGTCTTTGCCCACTGCCCGCCCACCGCTCCCCGCCTGCCCAGTGCCTCGCAAGGATGGGACCTGGTGGTGGGGTGGGGAGGCACAATTCAACTCATAACAGCAACTGTGGGTGTCCCAAGGGACCAGGCCCTGCGTGGACGAAGACGAAACGTGCACGGAGGGCTGGGGGTTTCGGGTGGGGGTAGCTCACTGCCTCTGTCTGTCTGTGTTGCAGCTGGAAGCCTACATCCTGGTGAGTGGCCTGCCCTGCCCAGGTTAGCCTACTCTCAGCAAGGCCTGGTCTGTCTTCGCCCACTGCCCGCCCACCGCTCCCCACCTGCCCATCCTGGTTCCCGGGTCCACTGTGGGGCAGGCCAGCGTGTGTATGCCTGTCCCTTTGTAGATTGCACCCAGAATCCTAAATGGTTGTCCCTGAATGGTGAGACAGGCCCAGCCCCCCCTGCTTGCACCCCCTTGTCCTCAGACAGGTCCCTTCTATATCCCGCGCTCTTTCTGGTTTGCTCCCGTGTAAACGGCTAATATGGGGCCTGCCCTTCATGCTTGTCCTGCCCTGGAGAGAGGGCTCAGAAAGTCCATACAAACGCCGGGCACATGCCAGCCGCCTCAGTTCACCGTGTGTCCCTGCAGGACCCCCGGGGCTCAAGGATGATGGAGTGGAGGCACGTGGAGCCGGTCTGCTGTGGTAATTCTCCGCCCCCCCCCATCCTCTCCCCTTCTTCCTTCTGGCTTTGGGGCTGCACCTCCGGGTGGCAGACGCGAGAATCCTTCAGGGAAGCAGAATGTGGGCTGTCCGGGACCCTCCGCCTGTGTTCCTCTGTGCCCGGGATCCAGCGGGTACACCTGCCCGTACGGGGGACCTGGAGCATCGGGGCCTCATTTGTCAGCACCCCAGCCTTCCTCCCACTGAAGGTCTTCCACGCCATCACCCCCCACCCAGCACCCACCCAGCACCC